TTCCTGAGATAGCAAGTCTAAATGTGAATCAGAGATTGATGCTCTTTTCATTCGGTTCAGTTCAGTTGCTCAGTTGTGTCCGACTCTTGGCGACCCCATGAATCACAGCACGCCAGGCCTCCCTGCCCATCACCAACTCCCAGAGTTTACTCAAACTCATGTCCATCGAGTCGGTGATGCCATCCAGCCATCACTTCCTCTGTCGTCCCGTTCTCCTCCTGCCCCCAATCCCTCCCAGCATCAGGGTCTTTTCCGATGAGTCAACACTTTGCATGAGGTGGCCAAAGTATTGGTGTTTCAGCTTCAGCATCAGTCCTTCCAATGAACACCCAGGACTGATCTCCTTTAGGATGGACTGGTTGGATCTCCTTGCAGTCCAAGGGACTCTCAAGAGTCTTCTCCAACACCACAGTTCAAAAGCATCAATTTTTCGGCTTTTCATTAGAAAATCCTAAAAATATGGACAAAGAGGAGGGAATGAGAAAAGCTGTATGTAGTGTAGGATCCTAAAAATCATTATTACTACAATTTATTTCTCCATCTTAGACTGCCAATTAGGTGACAAATGACTTTTCATGTAAATATTAGGGCAAGGTCTTTCCTCTCCCTCTATTAAACTTACTTATAGAGCTCCACACCAAGTCATGCCCAGTGAAGCATCAGTATATCCTAGGAAGATCCTGTGTTTATGTGCTCACAAGAGTATTTAATTGCACATTCCTACTCCCTCAGATTAGCCTTTTGGCAAAGTGAGCTCATTTCATTTCCAATGAATAAGATTACCATGGTCCATTGTTGAGTAAAAGGGGATGAAGATAAGCTGGAAACTCAGTCAAGGAGAAGGTTCAAGAGTATTCTGCAAAGCTAGGAGTAACACAAGGAAGTCTACTACCATTACCCAAGTCAAGGCAGTTGAATTTTAAACAGGAAGTGTTTAAAACTTGAATGTCTCCCAACAACACATGGTGATTAAAGGAATTCTGACATCTACTTGTACATGGTAGGCACAATGGTAATATTCAATAAATTTATAAAATTTATTCAAATATGAGTGTCAGATTGGACCAACAAGTATTTATTGAGTATCTACTATGTTGGAGGCAGAGAAGTGAACTAAACATAATTCCTTCCCTTAGTCAAAGAATTCCCACTTTGGGACCAGGCACTTAAGATCATTGTCCAAGAAAGATAAGTGAGTAGTCTTGTAACTAAACCATGGAATGACAGAACTTGTTTGTGTACATAATTGTTGACATCCAAGGAAATCTCAGCCTACCCTAGCGCTGATTATAATTTTCATAATTTCAGCTCTATGTATTTTTTTTCTCTTTAAACATCAAATCCAAATATGATTAGCAAGGTCATAAATGACCTCCAAAATCACTGCAGATGGTGAGTGCAGCCATGAAATTAAAAGACACTTGCTCCTTGGAAGAAAAGCTATAAATAGCTTAGACAGCATATTAAAAAGCACAGACATTACTTTGCCAACAAAGGTCCATCTAGTCAAAGCTATGGTTTTTCCAATAGTCATGTATGGATGTGAGAGTTGGACCATAAGGAAAGCTGAGCACCGAAGTATTGATGCTTTTGACCTGTGGTGTTGGAGAAGACTCTTGAGAGTCCCTTGGACTGCAAGGAGATCCAACCAGTCCATCCTAAAGGAGATCAGTCCTGGGTGTTCATTGGAAGGACTGATGTTGAAGCTGAAACTCCAATACTTTGGCCACCTGATGCGAAGAACTGACTCATTGGAATAGACCCTAATGCTGGGAAAGATTGGAGGCAGGAGGAGAAGGAGACAACAGAGGATGAGATGGTTGGATGGCATCACCGACTCAGTGGACATGAGTTTGAGTAAACTCCGGGAGTTGGTGATGGACAGGGAGGCCTGGTGTGCTTCAGTCCACGGGGTCGCAGTGTCAGACACAACTGAGCAACTGAACTGAACTTGCCAGCCTATTGCTATTTTACACCCTTCTTAATCACTGCAGTCAAAAAGCTTACTTAGTTTTAATGTCACACTAGACATCATTGGATGGTCCCTGTGATTAAGAACTTACCTGTAACTAGTTCTTCTCTTAATCACTAGACTGTCCAAAGAGCACAGGGAGACAGTGATTGATTACATTTGGGGCTCACATACAGGAGTGTTTTCCAGAAGCTATCTATTAGGATGGGTCCTAGAGTAGGTGTGAGTTGTTTGAGGGTGAATTTAGGATCACAACATGAATATGGAATAAAGCAGGACTTCAAGGTCTGAGATCACTGAAAGAGAAGGACATGCAATGCCTGGGCATTGGAACACGTCTCTTACATGTCAACTTCCTAATATCAATAAGGAGGTTTAAATATGCAGAATGATGAAAAATGGACATTCTGTAGCAAAATCTAGAAAACACATAAGGAAGTGACAGTTCTGGCCTTTGAAGAACATATCCTACAAGAATTGTTCTTAACCTCATTTTCATATCCTCACTAGTATGTACAGTGTTTTTGACATCCTGACAGAGCAGAGATGCAAAATAAGAAATTCCCTTCCTCCCTTAACTAGTTTTTCTGGTCTAAAAAGCAGCAATCATTAAATGAGGAAAAGGGCTTTTACTAACTCTCATAATTACCCCAGTGTCTCCATACCAGAATTTTAAATATTCAAAGGTGAAATGAAGAAGCAAAAAGTACAGTCCACAACTTCAGTTCTTAATCTGACCCACATCTCTAACTATTGCAGATTACTCTTATGAAACTAGAATCCAGCACTACTGAGTGCTGTTCCAAAGGCACAGAATTAATGTTACTGACACAACTCTTAAGTGTTCTAATGACTAGAGCTTGAGAAATGAGTAAGTCCTTAACTGAGTATGATGCATGTATAGGGTCAGAGGTGGAGGGCATGCTTAATCTGATAATCACACAGAAAATGTGGATAATTTCTCCAGGGAGAACAATCCCAATTACTCATAATGCACCATACTGGGCAGCACTTGAGAGACTAGGCATCACTAGTAATTTTGGTCTGGCACACATCCATGTATTCCTGACATTCCCCCCACTCCAACACTCCCCACTCCCCCAGAGCTCTATATTACCCCAAAGTGATGATAATAATGATGGTTGATGGTATCATCTAAAAGATAGCATAATGGAAGGCATTTCCAGGACTTTGGCATTATTTCTAGTTTCAAATTCTGGTACTAACTGCTACATAGCTGAGAACACATATTTCATCAATGTTCTGCTTTGATCTGCTTCTGAAAGCTGGAGTTAGGCTTGTGGTGAACAGTAAATACAGAGCGCCTTTTCCCTTTCTGGTCATAGTCCTACCAAGTTATTAATACTCAGTACCTAATCCACTGACAGCCTTGTTAGATCCCTAGCCATGGTAAGCTCTTTGTTTCTCAGGACTCACTAATAACTTCTCCTGAAAGGGCTCTTGCAGTCTCAGAGGAGTTGAAGTTAGAAAACAACACTTTCTTCAGCTTGTCTTCTCCTGAGAGCCTTCATGTAACAGAGCCAACAATGCCCTCTCTGTGGACTAGGCTTGTGTTTGCTACTTGGTTTTCATAGATTACTTTATATATGAAGTTGTTAATAGAAATACTTAGGGGAAAAGGATTCTAGGTCATAATAAGTCCATCAAGATGTTAACATCAATAGTACTTGTAGAATCTCAAATTAAATTATTAAGATTTCAAGGATTGAAGATGAACAAGAAATACTGAAGTGGTAAGCTTACTTAAGCAAGGCCATTACCTTTTGAGACATGAATTCACAAGGTATACACAATTTCGATGACAAACTAAGGCTCAAGTTTTAAGAATGAATACCTAAGATGTTCTATGGATCTCAGAAGGCTCACCAGGAAAAATGGTTCATTTAAAGGGGGTAATTGAGGAGAGTTTAATGAAGATACTAATTAAAAAGGGATGAGCAGGGTTAGGTAAACCAAGTCAAAATGGTGAAGTACCTCAGTGGAGTCCAGATCTTTCTGCAGTGATGGAAATGTTCTACATCTGCATTGTCTAATTCTATAACAATTAGTCACATGTGGCTATTGGACACTTAAGATGTGGCTAATGCAACGAAGATGCTGAATTCTTTGGAGTGATGCCGAGTCAACTTATGGCTGTGGCTTTTGACTGAAGAATGGAGCTGCTGCCAACTTTCAGCCTGGTAGGGGAAACACTGGGAATACCCTGACTCACTCTTCCTGTCCAACCATTCTTCTCTGGTACTTGACTGATGGAACTCTCCAGGAACCAGAGAACAAGAAAACTCATTGATGCAGTTCATAAACGTTGACCTCCTGGGGCACAGAACATAGTAAAGCATGGAGCATAGATATGGAACAAAACATTTTCATACCATGTACAAACTGAGCTGAGAAATCAAACCGTTTTATCAGCATTTATAAATAAGTATGGAACTAGTGGCAAAAAAATTGAACAAAAGCATGTGTCTCAATAAAGTCATATAAATGTCTTATTAAAGCTATCTGAGCTCTCCGCTGAGCTAATTGGCGCAGTGCTTTAATCAAACTGCAACTGGGTTCATTTCAGGTTTCGTACATGAAGAATGAAGTCAAAACCATGCCCCTTCACCTATATTCAACCTTGTGTTCTTAGCAAGGATCTGTGTGAAACTTATTCCAAGGTCCCATTTAAAATCACAGAGCCTGGGAGTGGGAAATTTTTCACCTTACTTAGGCGAAAGGTCATTGTAACTCAATAAATGGGTAAACTCAGATTAGAAAGTGAGAGGAAGACCAAGAAATTAGATATGGGGATCCAAAGACCCCCAAATCCTACTCTAGGACTATATGACCACTCTATTTTTGTACTATCTCTTGGAATTTTGGTGTGTTTACAAAAATCCCCCCCCCCCCCCNCCCCCCCCCCCCCCCCCCCCCACTTTCTGCACTGAATAGCAGTGCTAAGAAAAAGCCAAAACAAAAAAATGAGTGGGAAGGGGGAGTGGTACTATGCAAAGCCAGAGTCAAATCCTATTTTGGAAAGCTTTATTGTTCACTTTAGTGGGTCCTGAATATAAAGGAAGTCCAGTCTTTAAGTGCCAGTCTTTACTGTCTAGCACTTAAAGAAGAAAGGTCTAACGTCACTGGATGGGGGTTGAAGTGGGTGCCAAAGGAAAAGCAGTTCCCACCACCTCCAAGGAGCAGGAGCTGTTGCTCTTCAGGAAAGAGGATGCTGGTATGATTGTGTAACATTAATGGCCACGGCACACATGTTGTGTCAATCTGATACTCATAGCTCAATCCTGTAGACAAATCAATAACAGTCACTCCAGGAACTGCGGGGGAATGAATCCAGACCCCTCCAACCAGCAAAAGCTTCCCATTGACTACATGAGCTGTGTGGGAGTACCTTGGGGTAATGGGAGGCTGGATGGCTATGGATTCCCAGAGGAATCCACAAGTGATTGGTTTCAGAAAGAATACAGAGCTCAGTGGCTCCTCAGAAGCACCCAGACCTCCAGCAATGAGGGCTCCCCCTTGCCAGCTGCAGGCACTATGGGAATGCCGACCTTCAGGTCCTTCTCCCTCCACTGGGATCCTAACCCAAGTCATTGTCCCCACATGGAGGAAATGCCAGTCACTTAGTACAGGTTCTGCCACACTGCGGCCCCCATACACAAACAAATATTTCTGATTTTCACAGGACACTTCTGTTGTTGAATGGCGCCAACGTGACAAGGTGGAATCTTCTGGACCAAACTTCGTGACTGTTACATTTGGGTCCTCACTGCAATTATCCTCTTTCTCATAAGAAAGTTGGAGTATCCCCAAGGCTGGAGTTACTGGGGACAGTCTCCCTCCTAGAACCAGAGCCTGAGTGTCTGAAAGTCTCGTCATGGTGTGATAAAGGCGTCCATCCCACTGAGCTCCAGTTCCCCAACTGCCTATCTGGTTGCCTTTCCATTCAAAGTCACTGTCTCTTAAGAGCATATGAAACTTGCTCACTCGGCAATGTCGCCCCTCCTGCTCTCCAAATCCTCCTGCACTGAAAATAACGCCTGGGCTCAAAAGGACAGAGGCGTGGCCATATCTCTTAAGGCCCGGGCCCTGGGTTTCCCCAGTGACTACACTGGCAGGTAAGACTCCTGAAGGGGAAGCCGGATCTATCCGAGGAAACGTCTCTGAAGGTGGAAACACCAGAGTCTGGGAGAGGCTGTCTCCCCGAGAAGCGGCTAGAATGAAATAGTGGGCACACTTCAGATGCCACTCCTCAAACTCGTCAAAAGTTTCAAGATTTTCCACGCGTCGGCGTTCTTCTGCGGGGAGAAAGCAGCGATAGAATTCATTCAGGTCCATGGCGCGACAGGCAGTCCAGCCGGCCTGAAGGAAGCGCTTCTGCTGAGCCTCCGAGTCGGGAAAGCGGTCAAGGCCATGAAGGGGAGAATTTAGGTGCCGAAAATGTTGCTGCATGAACTCGCCAAAGGCGTCCTGCGGCCTCATCTGCTCGTAGACGACGAAAATGGCATTAGAAAACCGCTGGGCGGCCCAGGCGATGAGGGCCGCGGCATCATCCGGCTCGAGGTAGGTGAGCACGGCCTCAGCCAGGAGTAGAGTCGGGGCGGCCGCGTCAAGACCGGCGGCGGCAAGGGCCTGGTCCAGCCGCTGCAGCTGCCGCAGGTCCAGGCCCAGGATGCGGTAGTCGGAGCTCTCAAAGCACAGATTGGACCCGGGGTCTCCGCGCTGGAAAGGCCCGGTTAACGCGCACAGATCCGGCGTATCTCGAATCCTCTGCGCTTTGCGCTCGGCCACGTCCGGAAAGTCCACCTCCCAGACAGCAGCCTCTGCCAGGCGGCCGGCAGTTTTGAGGCGAAAATACAGTGAGTCTGAGCCGGCGCCCAGCGACAGAATCTGCGCGCGAGGGCTGCCGGGGGCCGCGCACGTCCGCTCTACGAAGGCGCGCACGCAGTGCCGCACGGCGCGTGCGCGGACGTAGTAGCCGCGGTGGATGAGCGGCGTGCGGCGCGCCGTCCCCGGAACCAGCAAGGCAGCAAAGGCGTCGTGCACGTACCCGCGCGCGGCCAGGGAGCTCTTGCTGAGAGCGCTGCTGTCGTTGGTGCTCTGCACTGCCTCAGCCCGACGTTCGCGGCTGCGCGAGCCCATGGTCAGGGGACTCAGGAGCGGCGGTCCGTCGGGGTGGTGAGCTGCCCTCTGGTCCGGTAGTATCCTGTACCCGCGAGTACAGCTCGCGGACTCGGTACTGGGCGGGGCGGGGGGGGGGGCGGGAAACAACGCCCCGTTTCATCTCTTCCTCGGATAGGCGGGCGTCACTTCCGGGAAGGGCGCGGCTCGCCAATCGGGATTGAGTAGGCTGCAGCTGGCGCTGACAGTCGGCTGTGATTGACATTTCTTTGATTTTCTGTGACCAAGGTTTCGCGGGAAGACTGACGGCTGCGGCTTTTTGTGGACACGTGGACTGTGTCGGGGAAGCGCGGATTGTCACTTTTCTACAAGCCTTCCTGGCTGAAACGAAAATTTTTCTTAAGTTTTCATAAGCTGACTCAACTGTTGACAAAAAGCTTTCAGAGGTGAGCCTGTGGGGACTGACAACCCAGAAGTCCTTGGAACGCAGCGCCTGCATAGAGTGTTGAGTGTCTGGTAGCGACAAAGCAGGGTTAGGACCACGACTTTTAGGGGGCAGGGAGAAGAAACGGTCTTTCCTTGGATGCTAACTACGAATACGAAGTGATCCCATTTACGTCTGAAAACAAGTTAGTGAGGCCAGGTACAAAATGAAGAAACCTTTACGGAAGTTGTGATTCACCCAATCAGTGTTTCCCCACAAATGTATACTGTCGATTCCCTTGTATCCCAGGCTCTGTGCTAAGCTTACAGTAAGTAAACCACTCAGCCTCTGTTTCTCAGCTGTAAAGTGATACTGCCCTCCGCGTTCAAAGTTCTGTCTTCTTGGATAGAATTAAATATGTTTGTGGAAGAGGGAATCACAGAAGAGAAGTGATTATTCTTTCTGAGTCTTGGCAGTTTAAAATAATCAAGTTTCTACTTTGAGTGTTTGGGAGTCATCACCAGTAGGAAATCACTTGCAAAGATACTTGGGGGATTTGTAACTTAATAATTGGGATTTGGTGACTGGGAGCTTAGAAGGACAAGGAAATCAGGATGTCTCTTAAGTATGGTTACCTTGAAGCAGTATAGCATAATAGTGAAGGGCGTGAGTTTTGGAGTCCAGCTGATTTGGATACTGGAACTGTGTCATTTAGATTTGGTATTTAAGAGCTCTTAGTGACTTTCAGTTCAGTTCAGTCGCTCAGTCGTGTCCGACTCTTTGCGACCCCATGAACTGCAGCATGCCAGGCCTCCCTGTCCATCACCAACTCCTGGAGTTTACTCAAACTCATGTCCATTGAGTCAGTGATGCCATCCAACCATCTTATCCTCTGTCGTCCCCTCCTCCTCCTGCCCCCGATCCCTCCCAGCATCAGGGTCTTTTCCAATGAATCAACTCTTCACATGAGGTGGCCAAAGTTTTGGAGTTTCAGCTTNTGTCCAGTTCTAACTGTTGCTTCCTGACCTGCATACATATTTCTCAGGAGGCAGGTCAGGTGGTCTGATATTCCCATCTCTTTCAGAATTTTCCACAGTTTATTGTGATCCACACAGTCAAAGGCTTTGGCATAGTCAATAAAGCAGAAATAGTTATTTTTCTGGAACTCTCTTGCTTTTTCGATGATCCAGTGGATGTTGGCAATTTGGTCTCTGGTTCCTCTGCCTTTTCTAAATCCAGCTTGAACATCTTGACGTTCACGGTTCATGTATTGTTGAAGCCTGGCTTGGAGAATTTTGAGCATTGCTTTACTAGCGTGTGAGACTTAGTGACTTTAGGGAGAGCAATTTCTGTGAAACAGTAAGGGCAGAATCCATGTTTTGGTGAATGGGAGATAAGTAAATGGAGGCAGTTCAACGAGTGTAGCTGAGAAGGAAAGAATAGACGGGTCAGTAAAGAAGAATGGGGGATAACAGGAAGTTTTTTGTTTTTTTTTTTTTAAGGTGGAAGCAAATACTGTATTTGCATATTGGTTCCCTCGGAGAAATTAGCAAGTGGAGAGAGGTTGACCTGCAGAAAAGTGAGAAGATTAACTAGTGGAGTAATGACTTGGAATAGACAAGAAGGAATGGAATGTTGGGCATAGATTAGTCTTGGGAACAGGAGACTGAATCCTCTTTCTCTGACTCATGAAGGAAGAAGGGGTATAGATACAGATAAGATTAAATGTGTGGGAGGGCCGAGAGAAATACAGGAAATTCATGCCTAAAGGCTTTTGTTGTCTCTGTAAAGCTAGTGACCGAGTTGTAAAGTTGAGTGTGAGGCAGCTGGGTCTAGCAGAGCTCTTGACGAGTTTAAAATTGACCCTGAGGGAAATGGGAGAAGGACTCACCTGAGTTTGCTGGGCTTTGAGATGTTTCTTTCTAAAATGAGGGGATTAAGTGAAGTGTCTCAGGGTTGACTGAGAGTGAGAGAGAAAAAAAGAGGGATGTTGGACTTTGGACAAAATATATAGCACTGTAGAAATACATTTTTATATGACAAGTTAATCAGATGTACATGATATATTAGAAATACTATATTTAAAGAACATATCAAGAAAAGTGATTCAAGAAGAAAGAGGATGGAGCCAAATTTGTGAATTGGGTACCTTACAGTTGTTTTCTGGTGTGTGCATGTGTGTGTGTTTCAACTGCACTGCAGGTATCTCCTGGAATCTTAGTTCCCTGACCAGGGATTGAACCCATGCCCTCGCAGTGAAAGCACAGAGTCCTAGCTACTGAACCACCAGAGAATTCCCTCCAGTTATTTTTTTCCCCCCTCAGGTTATTTTTTTTTAAATCTATATTTTTCTGTAAAATGGGACAGTAATACCTCATAGATTTTATGAGAATTAAGTACAACTGCCAACTAAGACATTTAGCAGAACATCTGGCTCATACTGAGTGCTTAATAAATAGTAGCAAGTGTTTTTATTATTCTGAGTTCCCTTTGGGGGGGCAGGGACAGAGGGTGGGGAGGAAAAAATTCTCTGGGAAAAGAGACCACCTGATTCTGGCTCTGCTCTAATTTGATAAAATGTTGGGACAAATGGATTCTGAACCACTGGACCACCAGGAAAGTCTACACTGCAATTTTCTCAGGGTATATGTGCAGTAGTGGAATTGCTGGATCATATAGTGGTTCTATTTTTGATTTTTCAAGGAACATACTGTTTTCCACAGGGTCTGTATCAATTTACATTCTGACCAGCAGTGCAAAAGGGTTCTCTTTTCTTCACACACTCTCCCGTATTTGTTTTTTGTAGATTTTTTAAATTATGGCCATTCTGACTGGTGCAAGGTGATATGTCATTGTAGTTTTGATTTGCATCTCTCTAATAATTTGTGATGTTGACCATATTTTTATGTTTGTAGAAGTGTAAACTCAATGACTGTGGATTTCTATGGCTGTCGAGTCCTGTGTTGTGTGTATGTTAGTCACTCAGTCATGTCCAACTCTGGAGGAGCCGTGGACTGTAGCCCACCAGGCTCCTCTTTCCATGGAATTCTCCAGGCAAGAATCCTGGAGTGGGTAGTCATTTCTTCCTCCAGGGGATCTTCCTGACTCATGGATCGAACATGGTTCTCCTATGTTTCAGGCAGATTCTTTTACGATCTGAGCCACCAGGAAAGCATCGAGTCCTATATAAACCATTTTCTTAATTGCCCATTTTAATACCTTGGTAGCTTATTTAACTCTTCTCAGTGTCAACTGATTGATTTTTAATGTGGTAAAAACATGTATTTTGCAAAGTTACTGCAAGAATTAAAAATAATATTTTTAAAAGCACTTGCTACCTAACTGGTAAGCTCTGAATGGAAACTGCTATTCTTATCAACATCATCATTAATATCAGAACCCAAAGGGTCAAGGTGGCTACTTTTAAGAATCACAAAATTTCATTTCATTTGAAATTTTGTCTTAATTTATAATCGACCTTCAGAGGTAAAGGGAGATTAGGATTTATTTATCATCTACAATGTGCTGGGCACTCTGCTAGATGTGAAACTGCACTCTTTCTCTGGTGGGACCCAGCCAAAACACAAATTGGAATTCAAACCCATGGACTGGGACTTAAACCCATGATCCCCTGAGTTAGGAAGGACTCAAACCCACTGTCTTTTAATTGAAACTGCTCTTACCTGGTGTTAGGATTTACTGATGCTCAGGTCCTTTTGTCTCATTGCAGAAAGATTTCAGTGAGAGGCAGAGTGGCAGGCAAAGAATGAGTGTATTAGTAGAGGATACTTGTGAGAAATGCAAATGGATGGATGAAAAGGCTCTGCCCCAGAATCACCTTCTTCCTCATTCATGGGCAGATGTCAAGACTTACATCATTAGTTCCTCCTTTGGTTCTCTATGGTTTAACCAGGACTGTCATGGAGCTATTTAAATCATATGTGTATTAGCAAAAGGGTGGTAACATACACTAAAATATGGTAGTTCATCTCAGGTTTCAGTATAATGTCTCCTCTTACCTAGTTTGTTTCTCCTTTCACCTATATTTCTGTCTTGGCTATGTGCAGAAATGCTACTCTTCAAGGAGTATTAACTCCCTGACTTTGTATAACAAGATTCAGACCCCATATCTATGGTCTTGTGTTTTTAACTATCAGGATCTCTGGCTTGAGTGTGCCTGGCACTTGGATGCACCTAGTCTTCCTTCAAGGTAAAGTAGATTGTTACCAGGTTACTGGATTCTTTTCTTGAGTGGTCTTTAGCTTACAACAGTCTCCCAAACTCCCTTAAAATTCCCTTTCTGTTTTTAATAATCCCCTAGTGTGATTTTTAAACTATTTAATTATCCTACTCTGTCCCTGGAGCTTCCCAGGTGGTGCACTGGTAAAGAATCCGCCTTCCAATGCCAGAGATGCAGGAGACACAGGTTTGATACCTGGATCGGGAAGATCCCCTCGAGGAAGAAATGATAACCTTCTTCAGCATTCCTGCCTGAAAAATCCCATGAACAGAGGAGCCTGGCGGGCTACAGAACATGGGGTCGCAAAGAGTCAGACATGACTGAGCACGCGCGCACTCACCATATCCCCATCAGGTGCTGGGGAGGTAGTATAGTCCTGTTTTTAGGAGGTTTATATGGTTCTGGTGAGGGAGAAAGACAAATCAGTGATGTAGACACAGTGTGATAAAATGCTGACTCAGACATGCTCACTGCTTATCCAGGAGGATAGAGGAGGTGAATTTAAGTTACTTTATTAATCCTCACAGCTACTCTGCTTTTTTCTTTTTTTGGAAGGATAATATTGCTTTACAGTGTTGTGGCGGTCTCAGACTTACATCACTGTGAGTCTGTCATAATTGTGTATATATCTCCTTTCCTCTTGAGCCTCCCTCCCCCCCCACACCATCCTGCCCCTTGAGGTCGTTTCAGAGCACCGGGCTGGGCTCCCTGTGTTATGGAGCAGCTTCCTGCTGGTTATCTATTTCACACATGATAGTGTATATATCCTGAGTGTTCGTTGGAGGGACTGATGTTGAAGCTGAAACTCCAAATCTTTGGCCACCTGATGCGAAGAGCTGAAACCCTGATGCTGGGAAGGATGGAAGGCAGGAGGAGAAGGGGACGACAGAGGATGAGATGGTTTAGTGGCATCACTGACTCAATGGAGTTGAGTTTGAGTAAACTCTGGGAGTTGGTGATGGACAGGGAGGCCTGGCGTGCTGTGCTCCATGGGGTCGCAAAGAGTTGGACACGACAGAGCAACTGAACTGAACTGAAGTGTATATATGGCAGTGGTACATTCTCAATTTCTCCTAGCCTCTCCTTTCCCCAGCTGTGTCCACAAGTTCTTTCTCTACATCTGTGTCTCCATTTCTTCAATGTAAATAGGTTCATCAGTTCTGTTTTTCTGGATTCCGTATATATACATTAATACATGATGTTTGTTCTTTTTCTGACTTATTTCACTCTGTATAACAGGCTCTAGATTTATCTACTCTGCATTTTTATCGAATTTTTATCCCATTTTTAAAATCCTGTTTTTATAGTTAAGGACACTGAAGCCTGGAGCTAAAAGTGACTCAGGGCCACACACCTACTAAAGGGCAGAACTGGTACAACGATTAACCTAGGTCCATCTGTTTCCATTGCCTCTATCCTTTCTTTATATATTTTAAACAGTTCGAAAATGTGAACTTTTGAACCCAAAGTAGGTCTCATAAATTTCTAGTTTTAATAGTTTTGTAGAAAGTGCTAATAGGTAAAAGTATATACCCTACTTGTAAAGGTATACATCTTTCTGGGTCGGGAAGATCCCCTGGAGAAGGAAGTGGCAACCCACTCCAGTATTCTTGCCTGGAGAATCCCATGGACGGAGGAACCTGGCAGGTACAGTCCATGGGGTCACAGAGAGTTGGACGCAACTGAGCGAGTAATCCTTAATCCTGTACATCCTACTAAATTTCAGATTTTAATCTCCCTCTTATCAGCTTGAGGACTTTTCTTATTTCTAGTTCAGGTGGTTGGCTCACTTAAATTATTAATAGCTTTGGAGAGCTTCTGTCGTTAGAGGAATAAATTAGCAGAACCTGTTTCCTTGCTTTTGCGTCAACATCTAAAAATGTCCACATTTGTTTAAATAGGTGAAACTGAGCCCAGAACTAGGATACTGTTTATCTTATCAAAACGGGTGGAAGTAACGCAGTCTGAAGGAAGTTCAAGGCCACCAAACTTACTGACTGAACTACATTTAGTATTCATGTCAAGAATAAGTGGCTGGGGAAAGACCTTGCTATTCTGCTAAATCATGATGGAGGCAGAAGAACAGCCATGGAAGACAACCTTTTACTCAAAATTACCTAAAGTGGTAAGAATTCAACCACAAAATTCTGGAGTGTTGCAAAGTATAATGATTTCTGTGTTGCTTCTTTTCACAAAAAGAGAAATAAATTTCATAGGTAGAATTTGTAAACTTTGTACATTTTACAAGTTATATAGCTGCATCTGTTAGGCCATTTGCCTAGTGCAGTCTACCAACATCAAGCACCTGCTGCAATTCTGTGACTCTAGTGGACTTGAGAAGATTTTGACTGGTTGCATTCTCCTATTTTAGGAACTTCATGCCCACTTGAATGGATCTATTAGTTCCAATACCATAAAGAAGTTAATAGCCAAGAAACCAGATCTTAAAATCCACGATCAGATGACTATGATTGACAAGGGAAAGAGAAGAACTTTAGAAGAGTGAGTTTGAGGGAGTTTGTGGACACCCTTCTTCCTTTCTCTATTTTGCGATTATAAATAGTATGTAAGGATTCAGATTTTTGTAGTTAAAGGAATAAGGTAGCCATCTGTTATGGAGAGTATAACTTGACAAACTATTTTTCCAGCTGTCAGACTGTTGACAAATTTTAGTGATTTATATTGTTTATGAAATTATAGCAAATTGGAATATTCTTTAGATTTATAAATATAGACTTCTTGATTTTTTTTCTCCCTGTTTCCTGCTTCCACTTGAGATAGGAGTTGTGGGGGTGAAGAAGGGAAACTATTGTTTACCACTTAAAAGTAACATTTAATTTTCAGTCATTTGATGATCCATCCAGATCAGTGTAATTTTTAAGAAACCTATTCTGTTGTTCCTTATAAATATATAATTACTACTAGCCTAAAATCAATTAATCTAGTGAAGTTTTTGATGACTAAAGTATGTCAAAACTTTTCATATTGCAGATGCCTCCAGATATTTCAAATTATTCATCTACTTACTACTAGCCCTGAAGATGTTTTAATGGTGAGAAATGAAGCAGTTTTTAGACTGGTTTAAAAATTAGTAAGTAATTGATGCCCTTCTGTTGTTGCACATGACTCAAGAGTCTGATGAAAAATATTTTTTTGCCTTTTTTATGGTAACTTTTGAAAAGCAACGTTAAGACATTTGCCTAACAGCTAATATCAAAAGACTATGTTAATTGTAAATGATATGAGGAAAGAACCAAGATCAAAATCTTCTGTTAGGTAGAAAATTGAACAGCGTGGAGGAGAAAATCTTGTCCTTTTTTCATATATGTATAAACTCTGTATATAATCGTATCATATGAAATATCTGACCACAGGCTTTACCTGAATTGCTTGGGATACTTTGAACTTTCTGGGTGGACATTATAGAGAGTGAAGGCGTTCAAGAGGTGCTAAGAGATTGAATTATTAATCCTTTGGGAAACTGTGCCTTCCCTCTGGAGATGAAGGGCTAGAGGACTCCTCTGTGTTCCCTTAGCTGGATGACTGGCTTTGTATCAGATTTGTATCATTGATCTGATTAGGATGGCATTTTTAAATGTTCTCTTTCTAATTGGAGAGAAGCAGAATCCTATCAGTGTTCTTAACCCTTAGGAAAAAAGTACAAAGTAAGAAATGCAAAATAAGAAATATAACGTAATGTGTTTTTGGAGAGGTGACATTTGACTGGTCAAGAAAAAATTTTTCTCCTTGGCTGAAACTGATCCTCTTGATAATTATTAAGTAAATTAATCACTTTTTGGAGGAAGGTTAACTCTAAGAGTTTAGCAGAAGTTGACAAGAGTGTCCCCAGTGTTCCAGGCACTCTGCTAGGACAGAGAGACAGAAAGATCGACATGGTCCCTGCCCCTCAGGAATCCATAGTCAGGTTGGAGAGACAGACCCATAAGAGGATAAATCCAACATCAAGAGGTAAGCTCTGTGTTGGAGACATCCACAGGGGTTTATAGGAACCTGGGGAGCATTTGTTGTCTTATCAGCCACTTAGCAGGTCCCGCTGAACCCTGCCAGGGCTGTCCACCACAGGAGGCTTTGTCTCATTCTCTGTTGTCGAGTGGAACAGAGCAAAACTGATTACATTTTAGATTCTGAGAGTTCCATGGGTATAATATGCCACACTCATTGTTTCTTTTCTTTAAAAGTTGGTAAGAAGCTTTAATAAATGAACCTTGTGTGGGAATAAATCAAGGGATTGTTTATAGATATGGGACTGAGTGTATGAGGATCACTTAACAGTCTCGTCAGAGTAACTGAGTGTAATCTCAAAAAGACAAGGTTGAAATGTGGCTGAAAAATCATTAACTATTACATGTGCTACATTCTGTGCTCAAAATGACTTTCCTGTAGTGGTCATTCTTATTGCTCCCTTTTTGCAGATGAAAAAAACTGAGGCCTAAAGAGGTTAGACCTTGTTCAAGGTCACTCACCATGATTAAAGTGGCAGAATTGACTGTTTTGTCTGATTCCAGAGTCCATGTTCTTTCTTATTTGAGATGTGCAGTCTTACATCCCTGGAGTAAGGGGAAACTTAACTGTGAGGTACTCTATCTGAAGACAGAACTTGAGTCGATGGTCTCAGTCCAGAGCATAGGAGAACAAAAGAACAAAGCCCAAAGAGCCAAGAGCTGACTGCAGTTCCTGTTGCTGCCTGGAGCAGAAAGGACTGAATCTGGTTGACATGGGAAGGGAAGTCACTCCCTAGAAAAGTGTTCTTGGATATGAACTAGAGATGATTCCACGGGTCTCACTGTAGCCTAGCAAAGTCTTCCTTCCATGACTCCCAATCAGTACTTGCCAGCAACCTTCTGTTGCTCCTCTAGGTTTCACAGGTACCTCACCACCAGGAAAAGGGATGCCCTGGATAGTAGATATGATCACTTCACACCTTCCCTTCACCCTCATTGTCAATCCACACATTATCGACTGGCTTCTACAGCAGTCTCCTGTGAGCTGGGGTAGGATGAGTTGGTCTTTCTGGATCCGCTTAGTTAAGGAGTGAAGATAAGGTCTTAGTTCCTCACAAGGACTGTGCTGTGGTGATGGCAGCGCCAGCAACGTGGGGTTTCTGGAACAGCAGTGCTACAGGGTGGTCTAGTGCCTTTGATGGTGGTACAGAGGCTGCAGGGCCGTGCCTAGTGGAGGAAGCAGTAGTGTCTTGCTTGGTCCAAGGGTGTCACGTGATTTTGAATGCTTTTGTGTTGTCCTTGTTACTGAGTCCAAGCTCTCTCTGCTTGCCACACAACAGGCCAATAAATTCAAGAGACGAGGTGTTGAGGCAAGGAATATGACTTTATTGGGAAAGCTGGCAGATGGAGAAGATGGCAGACTAATGTCTCAAAATAACCATCTTATTGGAGTCTGGATGCCAGTTTCTTTTATAGAACAAAGATGGGGAGAGGTGAGGGATTAAGGTTAAAAATGCTGCTAATCTTACAAATATCTTCTAGAATGGCCAACCTCCAGGAGAGGATATATTAATTTTTTCCTTCCTGTAGCCAGCCACAGGTGGACAAAGTCCTGAACAAAGGCATTTTGGTTTGACATTAAGGCAGAGGTGGGCAGGGTTCTCCAAGGCAGGCCATTTTGTATGCTTATAATAACAAAAGCAACATAAAGCAAAGGTTAAAGTCGAAGAAACAGATCCAGCATGGAGTCAAAATTGGCTATTGCCTGTGACATCCTGGGCTGTGTGATCTCTTAAGGCTGATTCTCCAGACCTCCTGGTGAATCTGAGCCACCCGTTATATGCATGTTGTAATAAGTTCCATTTTGGCTTTAGTATGAAGAAAAAAGATGAGGCCCAGACCTTGGATTGCAGTGGTGCCAACCTGTTAGGCACTGTCTGTACAGTCAGCCAGCCTTGTTCCTCTGCCAGGACACTGCATCTGTGTGCCCATGTGCACGTGGGCAAAGCAGGTTAAGAGTAGGATACCAACTGTAAGGACCAACTAGGGCTGGTTGTCACAGCATTTCTAACCTGGTACTTTTTTCTCCTGGGTTTTTACATTTTAGGTAATGGCAATGAAGGAAAACATGTCTTCAGCCTTTAGATATCATTTATCTTGGTCGTTTAGTAATTTTTGGATTGTTGAGTTTTCTATTAGATTGAATAGTTTTTTAACTCAAATTTTATCCGCCATTTTCTTTGCTTAAAAGAATCTTTCTAAGTACATTTGGGGAGAGTTTAACCCTGCCAAAAGAAATTCTTGAAAAGTTCAATTTATCCCTAAATAACGTGAATAAGAACCTGAAGCCATGACTTTATTTTTTTTAGTGTATTTTTAATTGAAGGATTATTGCTTTACAATATTGCTTTGGCTTCTGTTGTATATCAGCGTGAATCAGCCACAGGTGCACATATGTCCCCTCCGTCTTGAGCTTCCCCCCACCTCTCGCCTCATCCCACCCCTCTAGCTTGTTACAGAGCTCTGGTTTCAGTTGCTTGAGTCACACAGCAAATTCCCATTGGCTATCTATTTTATGTGTGGAACTGTATGTCTCCATGCTATTCTCTCCATTCGTCCCACCCTCTCCTACTCCCCACTCCCCCACCCCGTGTCCATGAATCTTGTTCTTTATGTCTGTGTCTCCATTGCTGGCCTGCAAATAGGTTCATCAGTAGCATCTTTCTGGATACCACATATATGCATAAATATGTGATATTTGTTTTAGTTTCAGACTTACTTCATTCTGTATAATAGGCTCTAGGTTCATCCACCTCATTAGAACTCTCTCAGATGCATTCCTTTTTATGTCTGAATAATATTCCATTGTGTAGATGTTCCACAACTTCTTTATCCATTCATCTGTTGACAGACATCTAGGTTGCTTCCGTGTCCTAGCTATTGTAAGTAGTGCTGCATTGAACATTGAGGTATGTGTATCTTTTTCAGTTTTGGTTTCCTCAGGGTTTATGCCTACTAGTGGGACTGCTGGGTCATGTGGTGGTTTTATTTCCTAGTTTTTTAAGGAATCTCCATACCATCTTCCATAGTGACTGTATCAGTTTTCATTCCCACCAGCAGTACAAGAAGGTTCCTTTTTCTCCATACTCTCTCCAGCATTTATTGTTTGTAGATTTTTTTGATGATAGCCATTCTGACCCGTTTGAGGTAATATCTCATTGTAGTTTTGATTTACATCTCTCTAATAATGAGTGATGTTGAGCATCTTTTTGTTTGTTTATTAGCTCTCTGTATGTCTTTATTGGAGAAATGTCTGTTTAGGTCTTTTGCCCACTTTTTGTTTGGGTTGGTTGTTTTTCTTACATTGAGTTGTATGGTCTGCTTGTGTATTTTGGGAATTAATCCTTTGTCAGTTTTGTTTCATTTGCTATTATTTTCTTCCATAATGAGGGTTGTCTTTTCACCTTGTTTATAGTTTCCTTTAGTGTGCAAAAGCTTTTCATTTTAATTAGGTCCCACATGTTTATTTTTGTTTTTATTTCCATTACTCTAGGAGGTGGGTCATAGAGGATCTTGCTGTGATTTATGTCATACAGTGTTCTGCTTATGTTTTCCTCTATGAGAAGCCATGACATTAAATGGTACATCAGTACTGCCTAATCATTTTAGCTGCTTATTTCTATATGTAACTTTCCAGTACTCTACACTCATAGATGGTTTACTGGTTTTAGTTTTGCCTCATTTCTCTGTTTTATCAGTCTGCTGTTCACTAGGAAATAGAGAAATGGTTAAAAGGGAAGAAGAGAAGCAAAAGGTGGCAGGGGGTTGTGCAGATTTGAATTTGACGTGAGAATGAGGAGGGTAAGGGAAGCTGTTGGAAACATGGTAGTTTTGTCACAGCCTCCACTAGGGGTGTGAAAAGCAGGTCGCTTTACCTTGTGGGAGACTCCACCACTCCTTGCAAGTCATTTAATGCATGAAATAAAGCTATAGCACGTGGCATTTTCATTGGGCCCCTTACACTAATGTTATCAGTATTGTGTGCATTGCTTTTATTACCAGGTGACAAAAGATGTCATTAAAGAATTTGCAGATGATGGTGTCAAGTATCTGGAACTAAGGAGCACACCCAGAGAAGAAAACGCTACAGGTAGAATCTAACTATTGATACTTCTCAGTATATGTCTATCTTTTTCCTTGGGCTTTGATCATGCATATGCCTGCAAAGTTGAGACTATGCTGCATTTACTGTGCCGCATTTACCGTTACACTGTTGTAAAAGTAGGGTCAAAGGTCCATATCTTCCGATGTATATTAATGAGATATGTTATTAATGAGTCAGTCAGTTATTCATAAGTCAAAATACCAGGTCAGGTATTATCTGTTGAAGGGAAGTTAAAAGGGCTGCAAAAATTTCATTTATTCTTGTTTGCTCTTCTCACTCTGAAAAAAAGACACTTGTTCCTTATAGCTGTGTTCTTAAATAGACGTTAGTTCGTGTTCCCTGCATCAAGCGCTTGTGACACAGTGCCCCTGAGAGGATGTAGAATCGCGTTTCATGGCAGTCACTGAAGTGAAGTTATTCAGTCACTTCTCGGGGACTGATGGTATCTTAGGCCAGGAGCAAGCTGTGATGTGGTAAAACCTCTCTGGATGGAGATGAGCGGATCCGGATATGGTCTGGAGAAGCTTCCCGGGGCCCTCTTTCTGCTGATACGAGCAGCATCCGGAGGTATTCTGTGACGTCCTTGGGTCCTGCTCAGCATTTTGTGCCCTGATAGTGTGTAGCCAGCATCACTGAGGAGGTGGAATTTTAAACTACATACAGTAAAGTTTAGTGAGTATCGAGATGAGGTAAGCAGCAGATTCTGGTTTTGATTTCCTTTTTATTAGAATATAGTTGATTTACAATGTCATGTTAGCTTCTGCTGTACAGAAAGTGAATCAGTTATACATACACATATCCACTCTTTTTTAGATTCTTTTCCCATGTAGGTCATTACAGAGAATTGAGAAGAGCTCCCTGTGCAATACAGTGGGTCCTTTTTAGTTATCTGCTTTACACATAGTCACATGTATGTGTCAATCCCAATCTCCCAATTATCCCTCCCCCTGAACTGAAGATTCTTATTTCACACTTACAAACTTTAGGATCAGTTCCAAGTTACGCTGGTGAGGATAGTGAAAGGGAAGGAGAAAAGCAGTCCATAGATTATTAGCACTAGTTGACTCTTCAAATGGAGATTCAAAGGGAAATGCTAACTGAAATGTGCAGAATAGGGGAATAGTTAAAGTTTAATGGAGTATTTGGTAACCATTAAAAATATGTGCAAAGACACTTTAATGATGTGAAGACAAATGAATGAATAGGATACACATACACCTAGTAGCATCTCATCTGTTCAGAATTGTTTTTTTGTTGTTGTTCAGCCACCAAGTCATATCACTGTGTGTGCGTGTGCATGTGGGTGTGTGTGTATGTATATAAATATATATATATATATTTATATATATATATTTGTTGTTGTTCAGTTGCTCAGTTGTGTCTCTTTGTGACCCTGTGGACTACAGCACACCAGACTTCCCTGTCTTTCACTAACTCCCAGAAGTCTGCTCAAATTCACGTTGGTTGAGTCAGTGATGCCATCCAACCATCTCATCCTCTGTTGCCCCCTTCTCCTGAACCAGGGTCAAACTCAGGTCTCCTGCATTGCAGGCAGATTCTTTACCGTCTGAGCTGCCAGGGAAGCTCATTAAGTACAAGTGGCATTTACTAAAGCCTGCATATGCAGGAGACACAGATTCGACCCCTGGGTCAGGAAGATCCCTGGAAGAGGAATCAACCCACTTCAGTATTCTTGCCTGGAAAATCCCATGGACAGAGGAGCCTGGCAGGCTACAGTGCATGGGGTCGCAAAGAGTCTGACATGGCTGAGTGACTGAGCATGCACACACATCCATGACTCATCTGTAACCATACACTTATCACACAGAAAGCGAGATGTAATTGTTCATATAGGAATACAATTGTTGAAGGATGAAATTGTTGATGATCTCTTTACAAATGTTTTATTTGTGTCCTTTCCAGGAATGACTAAAAAGACTTATGTGGAATCTATACTTGAAGGTATAAAACAGTCCAAAGAAGAAAATGTAGACATTGATGTTAGGTAAGAAACATTGTACCTTAGTGGTCACCACTGAAAATACTAGAATGTGACAATTTTACTCTTTTGAGCATGGGTATAGCAGATTTTTATAAATCTGTTAAAGTCAAGAACTTTGTTGTTTACAAGTTGAGAGTACAATTATGAATTTTTTTTCCCATGGCAATAAAGTTCTGAGTCCTGTTGCTGTAGTGAAGTGTGGCTTCCCATGCTCTTCAACAAAAATCCAGACTTCTTCTTGGGCCCTGCAAGGTCCCACGTGCTGCCTTTCTTACTTCAGCATGTGTCCACTGGTCACTCACCACGCACTGACCTTCCCCCTGTTCCTCAAATAGGCCAAGACTGTCGTCCCACGTCAGCACCTTTGTACTTCTGTTGCTTCTGCCTAGAACACTCGACCATATCCTCGCATGGCTGGCTTCTTGTTACTCAGGTCTCATGTGGCTGTCCCTTCCTCAGAGAGGCCTTCCTTGACCACCTTATCTAACATGCCTCCCCACACCTTCTAGTTACTCCATTTACTTCCTTTATGACACTCTTCTTAACAAAATCAGAAATTTTCTTGTGTTATTTACATATATACATATTCACCCACTAGAGTATAAATTCAGTGAGGCCAGGGACCTTGTCTTTTGATTCACCAGTACTTAGAGCTGGCACATAATTAGGGCTCAGTAAGTCCTTGAAGGAAGAAAAAAAAGAAAGCTAGCTGACTTTCTGGCTATAAAATCTGTCTATAACATCTCTTAGTTAATCTTAACTAGACTGATACCCTAATTAAAAAGCAAAAACAGGCAAAAGACAAGAATTCAGAAGAGAAAACATAGAATTGGCCAATAAATGTATAGAAAACTATTTAACTTCAATAATCAAACAGTTTTGTTTATTTTTTAGTATATGTTAACTCTTTTTTTTTGGCTGCTCCAGGTCTTTATCGGCATGTGGGATCTAGTTCCCTAAGCAGGGATCAAACCTGGGCCCTCTACACTGGGAGCTTGGAGTCTTAACCACTAGACCACTAGGAAGGTCCCACTAATCAAATAAGTTTTTAAAAACTACAATACCATTTCAATAGGCATCCCCCTCCCCTGTTCGTGAACTTGTACACTGCTGGTGAACATATGTAATTAATGAAACTTTTCTAAAGAGCAGTGTGCATTAAGATCTATAAATGTAATTTCCATATGACTTGTCTTGGAAAAAAAAAAGTTTCAAGTATGAAAACTATATTTCTCTCTCTGATCCAGTAATTCTTTTGTAGAAATGTATCCTAAGAAAATGGATTGATTAATGTTAAGATTCTTCATGATAGTGTTATTTATAACAAAAAGTATATAACATCCTAAAATGTCCAGCAGTCAGAGGACAGTTACATTATGTTATATTCATATGATTTATATTGTTTTCTAACATTTAGTGGCAGGGGAGATTGTTAAGTGGGGAAATAAAGACATTGCATTTTATATATAGTTGATTCAAATTTTGTAAATAAATATATGTTGGAGGGATTTCTTTATTTTGTGAATAAATAGATTAATAAATGCTGGAGGAAAATTGCACAATATTAACGGGTTCTCTGGGTATTAGATTCCTTGTAGGAATCCAGCTAATATATGAAGAATGAATTTGTATCAGCTATTGGATACATGTTAGAATACTACCAGTCTTGTAACCCATCATGAAATAAGAGATCTAAGCCTTCTGGTGAAGGAACCACCATCTATTAATTCCTCTGGCCTCTATTGAATCTGATGTGATTAAGCCTCTAGACTGGATCCAGTTTCCAATTTGCAGGAAATACAAGAGACAGGAGAACATGTTAGCAACATAAGGATCCGATCAGCAAAATTAGACTGTGGGAAACTCTACAGGACAAATGATCTGGTTTCTTCAACAAATAAATTCAAGAAAAGAGGCTGGGGAGAGGTGTGAGGTGGAGGGTGGGAGAGGAGGGCGGGAAGTGGCTCTAGATTACAAGAGACTTGAGACATTGACCAAGACGATGTGTGGACCTTAGTTGGATTCTGCACCATACAGACTAAAAAACAAATACAGGAACAACAACCAAAACAGGAAATAATCAGAAGTTTGAACAGTAACTAGATATCTAGTGCTGTTTAGAAATTTGTTTCACTCCCTCTGGCAAGGAAGATGTCAAGTCAGTCAGGCTGTACTTCTCCAATAAGATACATCGCAGGTAGCTTGCTGTACCTCTCTGGCCATCCTCAGAGTTGTCTTTTTCATCTTCACAATCAACATTCATTTTCAACTGTGTTTTACTTGCATTAAAGGTATTTGATATCAATTGACAGACGAGGTGGCCCTTCAGTAGCCAAGGAGGCCGTTAAACTTGCTGAAGAGTTCTTCCTTTCTACAGAGGATACAGTTCTTGGCCTTGACCTCAGTGGAGACCCTGCAGTAAGTTATTTTTCCAAAATATGTTTTATTTCTAAAAGGTAGAATCAGTTTGTGGGATGAGGATTAGCTTGGGGCACCTTGCATTCTCCAGAGGTTGAGCAGACACCCCGTGTGTATGAAACCCTATTCTGCCCTGGATGACCGGAATGTCCACAGCAACTGCTCTCCAGGGTCCTGTAAGAGTTAAGCCCTCTAAAAAAGGAAGAGAGAAAAAAGATTTATGTGACAGTATGATTATTTTCTTCATTTTTCTAAAAGTGGTACCCAACTAGTACCATTCTACATAGATAGGAGAGAGAGTTGATTTATTACAGTCCATGTCTAACGCTTAATTAATACTTAACTGTGGGTAGGGCTTAATTATCTCACAGAAGCCCCAGTTGAAAAAAGCTGGCCTAGAGCTTCTTGAAGGTCATATTCAAGCAGGGTGTCTCAGCTGTGGCACCTCTGACATCTCGGGCCAAAGAATTTTTGTTGTCGGAGAAATATCCTGTGTATTGTAGAATGTTTAGCAGCATCCCTGACCTCTTCCCAATAGATCCCAGCACCTTCTTAGTTGTAACAACCAAAAATATTTGTAGACGTCACCAAATGTCCCTTGAGGGGCAGAATCACCCTGGTTGAAAATCATTGAATTAGAGTCCAATAAACCTGGTTCTTCCAGCTTTGACTAAACCTGGGCTGTTCTGCCCTTGTTTCATCGACCATTTGATAGAAGCATTCTTTACCAGTCATACTTATTCCTGAATCAGGTGAGTTCTCCTTAGCTCTAGATACCTAGATAACCTTCCAGAAATAAAATTTGGTGACTGTTATATCTAGCTTAGCTGATTCACCTGAGGTTCACTGATACTTGAGATTCTTGAGGGCAAGCACAGTGGCTTTGCCAGCTTTGAATTCCCTAATTTTGCTATAAACAAAATGTACAAATGAGTCCATCTGCCACTTTATTTCCTGCCATTATTCCTTTGTTTATTGAGACAGAGTACTCAGTTCTTCAGTTTGCCTAGACTCATATATCGTCATTTTAACTTCTATCTTCAAGGCAGGACAAGCAAAAGACTTCTTGGAACCTCTTTTAGAAGCTAAAAAATCTGGTCTGAAGTTGGCACTGCATATTTCAGAGGTAAATAATATTGTAAAATTAGGCTGGAGAGGGTAGACTACAGTGGAAAATCATTAGTGGAAATTAATAATCACTTGTACATGGCTAAAGATAAACCTGTCTTGGAAAAACACTTTTAGAAAATAGAAATATTTTTATGTAAATTATAATGATAAAGGCATAACTTGCCTTAGTCCCTGGAGTTACCGTTTCTATGTTGTTATAGTCCCTGGGTTGACTTACACTACAGTTGTATCCTTAGAACAGCTCGATGACAGCTTGTTCGAGAAAATGCATGAATTTTTGTCAGCAGCCTTGATATCAGCAAACCGATACTGAGAAAAGCATGAGTTTGCCTCGCAAGTCCTTGCAGGGAAGGGACCTGAATGTATCATATACACTGGCAAGAAAGAAAGTAGCTCATCATCCTTTTATAAGGCCCAGAGGGAGATCAGGTGCCCTATGGCCTCCGAGTTGACAGCAGGAGCGCAGGGCAGATCATGCATGGACAGTAGCTGGAGGACAGTCACTTCCTTGAGAGGCAAATGAGGGCTCCCCTGCACCTTTCCATTTTATAGATAGATTTGCTTTCTTACCTCAGTCCTTCTACCTACTTAATGCTTTCTTTTATTAACATACAAAAAGGTGTACATAATTAAGGTATACAACTTGATAAATTTGGATTTAATTGTTTCTTGAATGCAGGAAATATTACCTACTTACTGCACATGATTATTTTGAGTATGAGATGGGGTCATGATATAAAGACTGAGGCAAAAATTGGAGCTTCTTGTCAGTACTGAGTGTTTTTCATGTCTACAAGCAGAGAGTCAGTAATCTAGTAGCAGAACTTGAAGTCTAGGATCTGTGTTTCACACAGAGGACACCCTCTAGTTGACCCAGCTGATGCCAGATTGAAGCCATCGGTCAGGGTGACAGAACAGGCAGCATGAGGCCAGTTACCTCTGGTCTTTGTGCGCAGCGTGAGAACCTGCCCTTACCTTAGTTTCTCTTCTCTTATTTGATCCATTGGATGGAAAATGTTTCATTTCTACATGTTATGGTCATTTGTCTTTTAGGCTATCTAAGAGTTGAAGAGCACAGCTAGACACACATTTTCGTGGTGGTTGTGGTATGCACATAGGGAGCCTTGTCAAGATGAAACATGAATGCACTGTGTGTGGATGGAGTCTAGGCCCCAGAGTCAGACAGAGCCTGGTTTCACCCTTATCTCTACCATTATGCTAGCTCTGTGAGCTTGGACAGCTTTTCTTTAAAATGCTTTATATTTGGACAGTTTTCTTTAAAACGCTTTACATTTTTAGCTACAAAAGTTTTATGTACCTGAAGAAAATCGAAGAGTAGAGAGAAAGTATAAAGTAGAAGTAAATAAATAAAAAATGGAAGGTCCCCTTCAGTTCTGCTCCTGAGTTGATCCTGTTAACAGTTTTGTTTTTATGTTTTTCCAGTTCTTTTTTTAATATGTGTGAAGACATGTACACAACACAGGACACACGTATGCATATAGACTCGTTGGATTTTGTTATTGAACACTTACTTTTTGAGTTTTGATTTCTTTGTCTTAATACTTTGTATAATTCTTGTGAGGTTTAAAGCAGAATGTATGTGAAAAGTCAATAACTGTTGGCCCTCTAGTTATTATCATCATTGAAATGAATCCAGAAGAATACTGGGAAATGAACAGGAAGATCAAAGGCAAAGAAGAAGGCTGGAAAGTTAAGTGACTCAGCTTTCCAGAATATCTGCAATACCTTCTCAGAGGGACAGAGTACCTAGCTGTAAAAAAAAAAGTACTTCTAAGAATCTCTGAAAGAGGTTATTGATGCCCTCGTCTCCCCTTCCTTTTTTTGAGATTCCAAACCAAAAAACGGAAACACAAGTACTCCTGAACCTATTTCCTGACCGAATTGGGCATGGGACATTTCTCAACTCCTCCGAGGAAGGATCCCCAGATCTGGTGGACTTTGTGAGGCAACACCAGATACCGCTCGGTAAGGCTTCAGGTCCTCCAGGCAACTGTCTGACCCTTCCTCCCCCGCCTGCAGCTTGCCACCCATATGTAGAGAAGCACTGTTGTAAATATATAGATATTATTTAGAAATGAAGTGATGCTTTCTCAACCTTATCTAAGTAACAGGAAATTTTATTAATAGCTCCCATTAGAGTATAAAAGCTCCATGAGAGCAGGGCCCTCGTCTGTCTTGTTCACTGTTGCATTCCCCAGTTCCTGGAACTCGGTATTATATTGAAGTAATAACGGTCATCTGTCATTTTGGAATGACTTTAACCTGTTTACTTACGTTATGAAAATGTATAACATATATTTAAAGATTAAGATGTCTGCAAATTCCAAGTATGTTTTTATATGTCTGTTAACATCACATACTTGTCTGCATGTGTATACCAGGAGCTATTTTTATTTAGCAACAAATATTTATGAAATGCCTACTCCCTTCCAGTCACTATTCCAATTGCTGGGAATAGAGCAGTAAAAAAGACAGACAATGTTTCTTTCTCAAGGAACTTATATTCTAGCATGGGTAAGAGAGACAGTAAGCAAACACACAAGAAACTATCAGTGATAAGTTCCTTTCAGAAAATTAAACAGGCTGGTAGAGTAGTGATAAGCTAACCACTTTTGATTGGATGGTTGGGGAAGGCCTTTCTGATGAGGGAAAGAAGCAGGTGGCTGAAAACCTTTTTACTGAATGGTGAATTCACCACACTTACAAATGTAACAGTTTGTAGTATTTTTAATTAATTTATAGTTTTTCAGCAATTCATAATGGGTGAGATTTTTTTTCTTTTTAATAAAGAAATTTGTAAACATCCACAAGAGTAAAGAATCTTGGAAACCACTTGCCTGGTGATCTTACTTGGAGTGGAGTCCCGGCTCTGCAGTCAGCAGGGGCAGGTTGGGCTTCCCCTTCCTGGGCCTGAGTGGCCCTGGGTCGCAGCCGCCTCACCCGAAGGAACAGATGCCATCAGTCAGTTCAGCGAAGCATTTCACTCCGGCTGGAGAGCCGGGCACAGCGTCTCAAGGCAGGAGTTGTGTAATCATAGAAGGCGTCCTTAAGATAGACTTCTTTGCAGGAGGTAGTGAATGGAAGGAGTTGAGACGTTTTCTTTCTTTTCGTGGAAAAGGTCCATTTCTACTCTTGGAGTTTGACAACATGCAACCCTCAAGCATCGCAACTGTTTCCTAACCTTTACTGCAGCCTCCACTGTGGAAGTGCCCCAGCCCTGTGAAGAGTCCGTGTGCTCCCCTCACGCTTCCCTGCCTTTGTCATGGTGACTGGCTTATCACACTCCTCTTTCCTCTCCTTTTTCATAAAAGAAGGGGAAAGCACATGATTGTGAAGGGGATACTAATTCCCTGCTTGGTACAGCTGCTGCTATAAACCACAGCACATGGTAGTTTTCACATGTAAGAAAAGGTCAACTACTAAAAATTAGCACAGCTTGGAAAGATTTCTCATGTATTTCCTAATAGGTCTTTTAATTAGAAGCCTCTTCCTTTCCCCTCTCATTCTAGAACTCTGTTTGACCTCGAACGTCAAAAGTCAGACAGTTCCATCTTACGACCAGCATCACTTTGGATTCTGGTACAGCATTGCCCATCCTGCTGTGATCTGTGTAAGGCGTTTTGCTCCCTTTCAGTCCGAGTTGCCTAAGTCAGGCGTTCACTGTCTAGCTGGCTGCCTCGCACGCCAGGGGGTGGTGCCCAAGTGGAGCAGCGAGAGAGGAAGGGGGGTGAGAGGCTGCAAAGGTGTGACTGTGGTTTGGCTCTGCGGGGGAAGGTCCTGGAAAGGACCTGGGGGAACAATACAAAGCCCAACACCCACCCCTTGAGATCATGCTTTCATTGTTCGGGGCTGAGTCCTGGCACAGATGCATTTTAAAAGCTCCCTCGGTGATTTGCACATGCAGCCACGGTTGAGAGGCCCTACTCTGGTGGTCTGTGTTCTTAAAAAGGATAAACAAGACTGTTGAGTTTCAAATGTGCCTGGATACATTTGTAGGCCCCTGTTTAGACTCTTAAAAGCATGGTAAGTAGGAAAATGCTGTCAACAAAAGTTAAGAGTTATTTTTTTTTTAAGTCATTTCCTCCTTCATTTTGAAACTTTCTTACATTGACAGACTGATGATAAGGGTGTTTTTGCCACACACCTTTCTCAAGAGTACCAGCTGGCGGCTGAAACATTTCATCTGACCCAGTCTCAGGTGTGGGATCTGTCTTACCAATCCATCAGCTACATCTTTGCTTCTGACAGCACCAAGGCTGACCTGAAGAAGAAGTGGAGTCATCTGAAGCCCCATTTTTAAGCTGTAATGAGGTGAACTACTTTTGAGTATATATTACAACCCAGATCTTGCCGCCACATCCCACTTAGTAAGCCTCTGCTCCCTTGGAACCATAGCAGCCAAGTGCTGCGGACTCTGACACCAGCGCCTTTCCAATGGTGGGTGCTCAGTAAGTCCGTCCTAAGCTGCCTGAAGGCTCTGAGGTTGTCTGACTTACCTCCATGCTGCTTTCAGGAAGGGACCTGAATGCTGCTGCACACTGGGCTCCCCATTCTAGCAGTGGTTTTGTCTTAACAGTCCCTCTTCACTAGAGATCATGAAACTTCAAGAAAATCAAAGTAGGTTCTCATCAGGAAAAGTTTTGGAATTGCTAGTCTAAATAAATTGAGGAGAGAAGGGAATACAGATTGTTACCAAAAGCTTTAATCTGTCTGGCTTGTGATGACAGCTCTATGTTTTGTTGTGCCTCCTTTAATCAGACTCCCTTAAGTATTCCCCAGAACGGTGGACTCCAGGCTACGCTGCATACCATGGATTTTTGTGAATCCCAGTAGCCAGGGTTAGCCTCTGTTGGGTGACCCTCATGACAGATCAAGCTAGCTGCTGAGATCTGCCTTTGCCCTTCTCATGATCAGTCCTTTTGGAGTCAAGATACATTTTACATTTTGAGTTGAATAATGGTGAGAGAATTGATCCATTCTTGTGCTTATATCTCATCTTCCCTTCTGTACCTTGTCACCATAAAAATAGTTCTCTATAGAGCGGACAGGACTGCACTATACCCAGGTTACAGTAAAAGAGAAATGGCAGTGTTCTCTGTATATCTATGTATACACACACACGTATACATCTGTATAGATATGAACCTATGTATATGTGTGTGTTAAGTTGTATGGCATTGGCCATAGAGAACAAACAATAAAGGGAAGAAGGATTAGCATGGGGAAAATAAAACAGAATAGCACTAGGAAAACAACTCATGCGAACAGACACGACTGCCCAGCTCCGGCTAAGTCATTCTTGCTTCCTCTGCTGCACAAGCCAGCAGCCTGTCCCCAGGGCCTCACAGGAACTAAAGGGAGGGGGGCACAGGGCCTCTTGCTCTCCCAGCAGCAGGCTTGGCCTCTCTTAGAGCGTCAGAGGCTATGTGTTATTTCTTGCTTCTTCCATCCTCAGGAATGGCAGTCAATGGTTTGTGAGTTAGTTTGAGATAAGATTGGGTTTTCCCAGGTAAGAATTTTGCCTTTGTCTTCTTCATTTTGCACATTTTCTTCATCTGGAGATTGGAGGGCTGGTCCTGGGTCTTTCAAGATGGACTCATGCTCCATGCCCAGTTATGATGGGTCCCAGTGGATTGTCCTAAAGGATATGGATACAGATTCTAAGGAAGAAGTTTCATTCTGATTTGTCTTTTACCACATTCTAATTTGTTTTTCAGTCTAGAACATAAAGATTTAGACAGGCATACTTGTAGCAGCCCCACACAGGGAGCCAAAAAAAGCAAGTAAAGATTTATCTTTTCTTACCAGGAATGACTTAATCATAATTTGCATATATACATTAAAAAAAAACACCTGAAGAACCACTGGGCACTTTATAATTTTTATTAACTTGGTATCCCTGAGAGTCAAATTAAGGTGTAAACATTGTTTGCTTTACACAAAGGGAAATGGAGGCAGGCTGACTTACATGTAAAACATCGGGAACCAGAATTCACATCTGTTGATACCACAACCAGTGCTTTTTCCACAAGACTATACACAGACACACTGAACACAGTACTCTCCGTTTTTAAAAACATCACAGCACGCTTCCTAAACTCAGATCCTGAGGCACTGCTTTACAATGGTATTTCTTGTCATCTCCCTGTCTGTTTATGCAATGTAACTGAGATACCACCTCCCCTTAATTCCTAAGACTTAGGAAATTCCCTTAGCACCAGAACTCAAATTTATCATTAGTCTGCCACAGTAAGCTATGGCTTTTAGAATATCCTATTTCCCCATTTCTCTCCCAGATCTCATTCCTATCTGAGGCTCATTAATGTGACTGTGACACGCTACTTATCTTAGACCTTAGCCATTGCGCATGTTCTTTGCTTTGACCTGCCAGTCAAGGTAGCTTCTCTCAGGATACTGGTGCCTGACCTTTGTCTCCCACAGGAGCTAGTCCCCTAAAACCGCTCATCTTTCTTACCCAGGGCCAGTCAGCTGTTGCCTCGTCAGCAAGTGCAGCACAGGACCTGATGTATTCATACTCTGGGGGATGGAAGCCCGTCTGTTATTCCTGGCGCTCCACGTTGCAGCTGAAGCCAAGTCCCTCGCTGCCCGCCGCACAGCCCTTATCGTGCTCCCCCTCAGATTCTGTGCCACTCTGAGCTTTGTCTCACCTCCCCACAGTCTGCCCTTTGCCCTCTGCTCCCTTGCTCCCCAGTTTTCCCATGTCTCACCCATTCAGCATGCGGTTTTACAGTTAGTTTTGGAAAGTTCATCTTGCCCAGGAAACCTTCCCTCTGAGCACTTCCTGCTTCACGAAACCTTCCAGATTAAAGAGAAGAAAATACCTCTCATTTTTTTCCCCAAACACTAATGCTTTAGACCTTAACTTTTATGCACAGTGTTACTACCTCGCTTTCTAAGTTTCTCTCAAACCGCTGCAGCAGGCCGTGTGCACTGTTCGTGTCGGCGTCACCTGCTGCAGGCTGTGAGGACAAGGAGGGGGTCTGTTTAACTTGTGCTGTACAGGCTCATACTACTGTGAGTACGTGGGCAGTTAGTTCAATGCCATCTTTATGATATCAGAATTACACTTGTTTGAGAGCTGCTTTTAAAAATAGATGTATACAGTTGAATATGTGTGTGCATGTGTGTGTAAATATTGTCAGCTCCACTGACCAAAGATAATTTGTCCTCCTTACCATTAGGGTAAAGGGTTTTTGGCACAAAGTGGTCTGTTTTCCCAATCTGTGGGAACATGGCAAGTGGCTTCTGCTCATTGCACGTTAGTATTGTGTCCACAGGGTACGTGACACTCACCCAGGTGTTAGGGTGTGTGGATTATGGCAGTCCCTCTGGCAGTTCTAACTGCTTTCCCTATTACTGCATCCACTTGCCTTCCTCTTTGGGCTTCTGGACCACAAGGGACAGACAAAATTTAGATCAGAAAAAAGTCACACTAGATGCTGTAAATACCATGTTACTCTATTCCAGAGCTTCTGTGGCTTTGAAGACAGTTAGAAATCCAGGGTTCACACCTCACTGTTAATGAGGTTTACACTGTTCCCCCGTATAGCACACCTAGATTCTTGACAAAATGGTTTATAGGTCAGAACCAGACTGGACACTTAAAGGCTCCTTCTTGAAGGTAAAGGAGTGTGCGTGACAAGTATATCATTCTGAGCACAGACTTAAGTGAGCAGGGGAAAAAAAATCATTCTTTTTTGCATTTCCATTACTGTATAAAGAGTTAGACCCATTGAGAATCCTCACTATTTCTCCATGAAATGTTGCAGTGTGGGTTTTTCTAGTTGAAATGCAATTGAATAACATGATGAGTAAAGGGTACACATCAAATTCACAGGATCTACTACCGTGTCCCCTCTCAGGGGAACAACACAGGCTCTGAGAGGAAAGGGTGTTACCGTAGAGGGAACCAATCTTCCTTTCATTCTTACTCTAGATCCAGGAGAAACACAGGAACAAGCAGTGGGGTAAACTCCAGACTGTTTCCTTAACTAGTTGGGCACAGGTTAGGAGATGGATCTCACTACTGGAGAACTGTTTCCAAACAATTTCAATACATGTAATGAGGCTGTTTTTCTCTAGATCCTCAAGGGCTTACTTAGGTGCTGGCTGTGACAGAAGTTTCTCTCGTGTGTGGATCTCTCGGTGCTTATTAAGAGCGGAACTTTTACTGAAGCACTTGCCACAGTCCTGACACCCGTAGGGCTTCTCTCCAGTGTGGGTTCTGTGGTGCGCACGTAAGTCCGAACTCTTGCTGAAGCTCTTCCCACAGTCGGGACACACGTGGGGTCTCTCTCCTGTGTGTATCCTCCGATGTGCACTGAAATGAGAGCTGTTATTGAAACTCTTCCCACACTCTTCACACTGATAGGGCTTTTCTCCTGTGTGGGTTCTCTGGTGAATGATAAGGCTTGAGCTCTGATTGAAGCGTTTTCCACACTCACCACACTTATATGGTTTCTCTCCTGTGTGGATTCTTCTGTGGGTGATGAAATTTGAGCTGTCACGGAAACTTTTCCCACAGTCAAGACATTGATAAGGTTTCTCTCCAGTGTGGATCCTCCGGTGTCTAATGAGCCGAGCGCTCCGACTGAAGCTTTTCCCGCAGTCAGCACATTTATATGGATTTTCCACTTGATGGGCTAGCTGATGCATAGGGTGGGAGTTTGGAGCAAAGCTTTTGCCGTATCTCAGGTATTTATAGGATCTCTCCCCCAAGTAAGATCTCTGTTGACTTGGAACTTGACCCAAACTCCTTTCAGGGAACACTGGTTTTCCTTTGCTCTCTCCCGGGGTGTCCTCCCACTGTCTTCCAGGTCTGCACTCACTCTCATTGCCTTTCCTTTGATTAAGATGCCGAGGAATTCTCCTCTCAGACCTTGCAAGCAATGTCTTATGTAGTTGTACTTCCTCAGAAATATCCCGTTTTAGATTATCTTCATTCTCAAATCCAGCCTCGAAACCTAACGTAAGAAGAGAAATTTAAAAGTTACCCATTTTCTCAATTATTATGTGTGAGTGTGAAGTAAGTATGACATTGGATGACTTAACATAAAAATTAGGGGGCTCTGGATCCTAAATAACTACTGTCTGTTAAGACCTGCTATTTGGTCATCTGTCACATGCTTCTCATCTACAGGGGAACTGATGAATATGTTCTCTTAACTCTTTTTCCTGGATATCTGGGATCTTCAGAAAATCCTCAGTATACCAAGAAAAACCTGCCAGATTTAAGATAAAACCATCACTATGATTATGAAGGAAAGACACTTTCTAATGCTGTATTTTAGCCTCATCTAAGGCCTGTCACGGTTTACATTCTTTGCCGGTAACTAAAGGGGTAAAAAAGGAATGCCCAGGGAAACTGGGGAACTCCTATATTGAGGAAGAGCTACATGAGTCCTTTTCACCCTCAAATTCTGTGTGTTGAGAATAAAAACAGGGTAGAAAGATACCTGTTCTCTTTCAAAGAACAAAAGGCCTTCTGAGAGAGAAACTTTGGTAGGTGCTGTCTCTTTCAAACTTTCTCTTTGCCCATGAACAAATAATCACTAGATGTTCCAAAGCACTACTATAATGCCCAAACTAAGCTTTAATATTCCTCTAAGAGCCAAATGCCAGGCTTCCCAGGCCTAGGCCATGAGAATTTGTAGATACTTGGAAAGTTTCAGTTTGCAAATTTAG